GTGTGTGTATGTATAATATGTATATGTGTATATATGTATATGTATATATGTATATGTATGTATGTTATGTATATATATGTATATATATATATATGTATATAATTATATATTTGTTTATGTATGTTTTATGTGTATGTATGTGTATATTTGTATTTTTATGAGTAAATTTCTCGTAGTGCTAAATTTGCTTAATTTTTTTTAAGGTTCTGATTGAATATGTTCTATGTATTAATTTAAGGCCGAAAATTTTGTTCAAATGTATTTTCTACCGTAGCTCTTTAATGCCTGTAAGATTAGTATATTTGTATTTTTATGAGTAAATTTCTTGTAGTGCTAAATTTGCTTAATTTTTTAGGTTCTGATTGAATAATTTCTGTGTATTAATTTAAGACCGAAAATTTTGTTCAAATGTATTTTCTACTGTAGCTCTTTAATAAAGATTAGTTTAAGACGTGCTGTGTTTTTCTTATGGATGCACCACTTTTTGTGTGTGCCACCGATGCAAAGGTGCAATTTCCAAATAAATTGATTGATTGATTGATTGATATAAGAATTCAGGAAAAAGCTAAGTGTTCCTTAGCTGGCTTTTATGTTATGTTTAGAAACTCTATAGAAACAAGCCCTTTGGGACAGCGCTATCCCCTGGTTTCCATTATAAATTATTTACATTTGTTATTATTGTGCAATTTGTTTTTATGAACAATCTAATATTTATTGTTTAAATGTACACATTTAAGACTTGAAATACTGTTTATATTGTTACATTAAAAATTGATAGAACATTTAACTATAAATCAATCACTAAACTTGAAAGCTATATATACTATATTATGCTTCAACTAAAGAGCTGTAAATTAGAATGATGGTATCTCACAAATCTAAGGCCAGGGAACTCCTCATAAGAATTCACGAAAAAGCCCATGATAGTATCAATTGAAACAAGTTCTCGTAATCTTGAAAGCTCCGATGAGGTCAGTATAATAGAGGCTGTAGCGTATATTAGCCCTAACGGCTACCCATACAAAAAAGATATATTAATCAATCAGCCAGCTCGGTTCTATCTCAATACTACTGCAATATTCCAGATGGTGCATTCTGCCCGAAGGTCACATTCCCGCAATATTACTCCTTAATACTTATAGCAAATTTTCTAAATTGCTTTCTAGAAACAATAAACAATAAAGCATTCCCTCAGTCTGTAATGACCAAAATTATTAACCAATGACTCTTGCAGCATACGTGATCCATTCATACAGAAAGGCGTTATATTACCACAATATTTGGTTGGTATGGATGGTATTAAAGTGTACTGGTATTTTATGGCAATATTACCACAATATTTGGTTGGTATGAATGTTAAGTGTACCGGTATTATTATCGCAATATTACCACAATATTTGGTTGGTATGAATGGTAAGTGTACTAATATTAAGTAAGTGTAATAATATTATTTATTATTATTATTATAATTATTAGACATAATTATAATACTTTGAAGTGGTAATTATTAGTTGTGTCAAAATAGTTTTTAAAATAATAGGAACCAACTAAAATACTGCTATATTCCGACTGCAGTCCATCACATAGGCTTATGTACGGTAATTCGCAGGAAGAGTTGCTCTCCTCAAAAGCCACTCTCCAATATGTTTTTAGGAGAGAAAATACAGTGAACAATCTGAGTAATGATGCAATGTGAAGAGCAATGAGTCAGTGGGGATATATCATTTTCTTTTTCTCAATTTTCTCGTCCTTAAATCATAAATGATATTTGTATTAAATTTCCGACTGCAGTCAATCATGCAGGCCTATGTAAGGAAATTTGCAGGAACAGGTGCTCTCCTCAAAAGTCACTCTCCATTATGTTTTTAGGAGAGAAAATAGGGCCACGATCCAGTGAACAATCTGGGTAATGATGCAATGTGCAAAGCAAATAATACATCATTTTCTTTTCTCACTTCCTCGTCCTTAAATTATAAATGATATTTTTATCAAAATCTGAAAACAGTTTTCATTTTAGTAGAGAGAACTGACCCAACAACTTAGCCTGCTGCGCATGTTAATTATCGTATTTCGCGATCATACGCTAAGATCGGGACTACGCTAATGATGCTTCAATATTAAAACTATCACCAAAATAAAGATGTAACCTTGAGAGTACATTGACGTCTGTCAATGTTATATGCTGGCCTAAATATAAAATCAGGTCTAGCCTGAGCCTATTTTTCTTGTCTAGGCAGTATTTGTCTTGTCCAGGCAGTATTTTCTAGGCCTCTCCCTAGAGTTTAACACCATCTTCTCCGAATAAGACATGTATATTTGGTTGACTACGGTATTAAAATATAGATAAAGAAAATAGCTCATCATATTTTTTAAAAAATACACTTTACTTTTGAAGTATTAGTTAATAACTGATTGTCAAACTACTGTGTCTTCGTTCAATATGAAAAATACAGCTATGTTGAGGTTGAGCGTTGTGCGCTGCCATAAGAAATACTTGAGCATTGCTTAAAGATAACACCACATGGATAAATAATACAGGCCTCTTTTAGAACCTTCAATTTTCAATCGTGGTATAAATTCTTCTGTAACGATTAATTACTGTGAGTTGTCAGTAAAAATTTCACAGGGTAGGCAATGGTTTAGCTTTACCATTTACCCTTCACATTTTCAATTTTAATACCCAGGCGAAATAAAAAAAAAATGTGTTTCACATGAAATTCACGTAAATTCAATTAATTAAATGTTGTTTTATCAATCACCATTCATAAAAAAAAAAGGCCAACGCTGAATATTGCGATCATCACGCATGTACAGTACTGAATGCCCCTATCCACTAGCACGCAAGGGAAACTGAGTTCACGGGTACCTACTTGCACACACAGACAACATACAAAGAGATCCTGCAGTTGGGCTTGCATTGAGTGTCTGGAAAGACATTAAAATCGTAGTAGTAGCAACGATTTTATCGTTTTACCATGATTATGACGTCATCTGATTTGATTTGTTAAAATATTTTGTTATTGTATACACGATAAATCGTTATCGAATCATCCTAGTGTAAAAACTTCTCTTATTTCTTTTGTTTTCTATATAAACAATCGCTTTTTAGCTTTTTTATTGTTATCGTTAAAGTACAAACAGGCCTTTATAAGGATAGGAATGACCTACTACAATGTATATAATACGAAGAGATAAAGCAGATCACATCTACATAGACAATAATCTCTTCCTGTAAAGGCTAGTCTGACCTAGATAGTAATGCCATAAAGAATTTGTTGTGCTTGCATTCAGGTTAAAATGTCAAACCAAAGTAGACAGCGATACTTCTGTATGGAATAAATCTTTCACGTTATAAAACATCACCATGACGAGGATGAGCTAATGTCAAGTGTATCTCTAATTAACACAGAAACGACTAATATTTGATGCTCTGTCTCAATTTGTGTGACATTATTTTGACAAATGTGACGAAGAATTAAATCACTAACAGCAAAGATAACAATTATCATGAAACTAAATTAAGTGTTAGCTGTAATTTAGAGGCTAAGATTCCCTTTGTAAATTTGTTACAAAAATACAATAAAATTTCATGATAAATAGGCGAACTGAATCGTATGAAAGAAAGGCATGAATAAAGATAAAGAAATAAATGAGAACGAATGGGAGGTGGAGCATTCAAGTTGAAGGAATAAAAAAAAAACTATGTTATGAATTGATGCTGGCTACATTTGTACTTGAAACTGCATCACATGTTATAATCCTCCATCAAGTCAAATGGCCAAATGGTAAGGCAGGGGTGCCGTAATATCAGTGCTGTTTCGAATGGCACGCTCGCCTATGGTTCTGGTGGTGGAACAAGTCTTTTCGAATAAGGACTATAAACCGTAGGCCCAGTGTAAACAACTTCGCTTATGTGCACTTTAAAGAACCCAGTACATCTTTCGAGACGAGTACGGGGAGAAGAATTACTGTACGAACTCGTCACACCTTCGGTATAAAGCGCTATATAAATCTAACTACTGTACATTAAATTACATTACATCTACAGTGCGCCACAGATTTAATTAATTTTTAAGTCATTATAGAATAACAAATATTTTAAATAAGTGATTTAAGCCACTGAAAGTATATCCAGTGCATAAAAACTAGTTTGATCTCAATTTCCTGGGTACATTTCTACTTGAGAATACTAGATTCATTGTGACATAAATGAATTCAAGCATTACATCACACAAATCTATAAGATCATGAATAACCTAATAAATTAAGTGGGTGAATATTTACAGCATTAATCATTAAGCCCATGACACAGAATTTGATCAGTTTCTGGAACCTACTGCACAACATACAGTAGCACTTAAGCTGGGCATACTCTATCAACTTTTTCTATGTCACACTTTATGAGCAATGTCTGTTTTGGAATTCAAGTCCCACCAGGAGATTCTTTAGAGCCGATCCAGGATTTGTCAAATAGGTTGTAGAGAATACAGGAGCATTGCAATTCTGAAACTCCTCTAATTTGCTTGGGACTTTCAGGCGTGAACAAGTGAAATTGATCGGCAAGTCAATTTTCGCAAGTAAAATTTTCCTTCAAATTCGTTCAAATGCTAAATTAATATAATATAGGATGTATATACTGTGTGTGTAAGTAGGCATTAATAAGATGCACGTATGTTCCCAGTGAAATATATGTAAATATAGACATTGATACGATAAAAATCATACACAGTTGACATAGTAAGTTAAGAAAACAGTAGAAAATAATTACCCAGTAATTATTTTCTACTGTTGTCTTATTCATGTTGAGAAAGTCCTGAGGGCAAGACAAAATATTTGTGCCTAAAAAAATTGTATTTCGTAAAGTTCTGTTTCATTTGAATATGAACATTTGAGTATGAATATATTGTTGTGTGAAGCACCAATAAATCAAATATGAAATAAATATGAAATGCAACAATCACCTCCTGATAAAGCGTCACTATAAATGATGCTAAACTCACCTTAAGTTTATGTTCTGTAAGCTCGCATCAGTGAGGTCATCATTAGCACGTTGATGAATATCGCGTTGCGTATCGATCTTGTGATCATCTGATAGCCCGTCAACTTTGTGGATGAAGACTTCAAACTTGATGTTCGGGTTAACCTTAAAGGCTCTTGAGACCGTCATATGGAGTCTGGCAAGTGCGTCCATGTAATCATCCTAATATAAAGAAATGAAATATTGTATCCAACAATAAGAATACCAGACAGAAAAAGAAAACGTACTAAATATAAACAGGGATATCTCTTCTGACATTTCAATACCGAGATTTGTCATCACGACTAAATAGAGTACAAACCTAAAATAGATTTACAAAGCTAAAATTTTGTAAATTTGATACGATGGTGGTGAAGATAAATGCCATAAGTAGAAGTGGTTGGTGCATCGGAGTACAAGTGGGTACCTGGTAGGTTCAAACATGGTAGGTTCAAAAATGGGGGAATATGGAATTCCCCCATGGGGCTTGAGTGTGTGTGTTCCATATGTGCTTGATCCAGTGATCCGGGGGTAATAATGTAAGCGCATAAAGGTCCCTACAATATGCGCTATATAAGTTGACAATTATTATTATTATAAGTGAAAGATAAGCTTACCACGTTATCATGTGAACTTTGCTAGACATTTGAGGTCTGTTTTTCACTGAGAAAGTGTAGTAGGGTTTTCATTGATTACTTACAGTACGAGGATACAGTTTCATGTCCATGGGTCTTTGAAAATGATTTAGTACTAAACACTAATGAACTACTGCTGCAATAAAGTACAGTACTACTAATTCGCAATAAATTACAAGCTAATTAAGGGTTTATGTAAACAAATTCGGTATTATTTATGCCATTGTTAATTGGCATATACTGTCTTTGTTCTAATTAATATTCAGTTAGTTACTTACTTAAATATTCAGAGCAAGGAAATAACCTTTAAAAATAAAAGTTTGTTGACTTCAACACAGCTTGTACTAATACGTAAAGATTTGTCTTGAGCTCTATCAACACTTGTTTTATTTGTATTTGTTTGTGGGAACTGCCCATATACGGGCATGATGGTGTCATATCACATCCATATTCAGGCATGATGATGTCATAACATACCCATATTTGGGCAAATTATAGGTATTTTTCACATAAAGCTTAATAATGCAGATAAAGCCTCATTAATTTGCCTTAATTTTCTCAATTTTTCTTCATACAGATTGCTTTTTATGCAGACTGATTACGTGGGCGCTTAACATTTAGCCTCCTGCAAGACGAAATCTGTTAAAAGAGGAAAAGTACCTTACAGCCTCAGACTCTATGGGGCCTAACAATTGTCTTGTATGACAGAAACAAGCAATGATATTGATATGTTACTGTACATGCCTCAAGACATGTATGCAGGCCATGCCTTTAAAGAAAGACAATCATTTAAATTGAATTTAATATCAAAAGAAGGATTAGAAGATGAATTGAAATTTACATCTAGCTTCTTGTTACACAGCTTTGAGGTATTAACTGGATTCTGAAAATTGTTCCTAGCCGCTTAAAGTCTTAAAATTAAATAACAATATAATCTTTAATTTGAACGCTGTCGGCATAAGCTTTTGTACAGAATAACCTACTTAATCTACTTTACATTTCCAGATAACATCCGAAATAAATCATTCTTAAAATCTCTTGCTCTTGATTACTTTGTTTACGTCTTTATTTTAAACCTAACTAGGTAGTATCTAAAGAAGAAAAATTCTGTTTCTTTTTTCATTTATATTCAATTAGCCTAATATCAATTGGTTTGGTCAAGATTAGAATAACCGTACGTTAAAAATTAAAAATCGTCATTAGATGATCAACGTAAATACTTACGTATTAGTCATTAAGTCATAAGGAGGAATGTTTAAAAAAATATATAACAACATCCTTATGTTATTTTAATCATTTGTGAGGGTAGTTCATCTAGCCAGAGCTATATCATTAGAGAAATGTACCCAATTATAAGTAAGAAAAAAGAGAATATTTGGTAGGGCACTAACCTATTCTACACAGCATTTAAAAATATTATTATTAATAATCATAAATGATATTTATAATAATGATAAATGTCACTTCATAACTTATGCTAAACTCTCAATAACTCTGAGGAAATATATTAAATACTTAACTAACACTTTTCTAACACAAAAAAAAAATCTATTTTTACCTGAGCATCGATGACAAATACTAGGGCCCCACAGCCACCAAATATTGTTTCTGAATCAAACGTTGGGTCAAAGAAATCAATCTGTCCGGGAAAATCCCAAATTTCAAACTGCACAAATGAACTGTTACTGATATCTGTAATGAGAAAGAAATATACAATACATATGAATTAACTAATCGGTTAATATTAATCACTGCAACAATAAATCAATGTATTATCTTATTACTAATATCTTAATATTATCTTAAAAGCCTCTCAAAAGAGGTAATGGTCTTGGTGATACACTTTTTAAAGTGCATACTACGAAATCGTTTCTATGCACTAAGAAACCACAGTCCAAATGCACAGAGAATTGATGGTAAGTCCTGCGATAATATTATCAATACAGAAATACAATACAATACAATACGGCGCGGTACAAGTTCCTGTATTATTATTATTATTATTATTACAATCCATATCAATAAAAAAAAATACAAATAATTAAAATTGGTAAATAAAATGAATTCTATAACATATAGATTTCAAGCCTTCATTTATTTGTTTCTGGAATATATTCAGTATGAAGATGGATGAGCTCTTTTCTTGGAGTCAACGGCCAACCATATTTAGTATAACGAGTTTTTTTTGACTGCATAAATCAGAAAGGGATCTACAATCACTTTCGCTTTTGTTTTTACATTGAATTTGACACTCGGTGCTATGAATCCGTTGGTAATAGCATGGCATAAATGATTAGGTGGATAGATGGAAGATACACTTTTATTTTCACATCCGACAGTAAACACTACTCGCCAATTACAGAATGAATGATACTTTATAAACTAATAAATCCAATCTAATCCCAGCATTAATGTCATTACCCCAAAGAAATCCTGGTGTCACAGAGATTAAAACCCAGGACTACAGTTTTCAACAGTGGTGATCAATGTACATTACATGCTATTACTGCATTTTCAATCCAAACTACAGTGAGGGCTCACTCCTCACAGTCACACATTCTAATATGACAAAGTATTTTTTTCTAGTCTTCTCTTTTTGTGAGTATTTGACTACACCATAGCTTAAAAACACAATTTCTTGATGGATACTCTCACAAAGAATGGATATATACGACCTACTTTTAATAGAAATTTTGGCGTGAATTTTTGTAAACATAATTTCAAAGTAATTAATTACTAACATTTCGGATGAAGCAACAGAGACATGAAACCTGATATTGATATGTGGCCTATTCCATTTCAAATTAACGTTAAATAATACCTCATTAGGAAATATCAATATAATGAAAATAAAATGATTTTATTTAATAAGCAATTCCATCAAAATGGCATCACTTTACAAGAGTACAGTAGGGCCTAAATAAAGAAAAAAGATACAAATAAATTTCACAGTACACTGCATAAATTGACAATATATTCTTACATATTGCGATCAACCATATATACATAAATTAGCCACATTGTCCATCATTGAAAATAGCTGTCACTTTTAATGGGAATATTTCGGTGGCAATATAAAATATATTTCAGCTGTTCAACTGCTATAAATTGTGAATTTTATGTTTCTCATGGATGGATTTATATATACCACTTTGAAAAATAATTTAAAAAAAGCCCTCGAAAGTAACAATAAAATTTCTCATTTTAAATAACTAAATAAACTTTCAAGTTTCAACACGTCATGGAACATGTGGAAATTTCTTAGCCTGTTATGATTGGTCAGTTGTCAAATTTGATTGACATTACAAAAAGGCCAACTGGCTGGTCACTAGTTCATTAAAAAATTAAATATTCATTTTTTTAAATTACATCATTTATATAGCATTACATCATTTATATAGTGCTATTTCATGAAGATCAGAGTGCATTTTTGCTTCTTTTGTTTTTTTTGTAATTTTTTAAAAATAATATGTGGCGATGAAATCACCTAGGTTGTTCCAAAGTTTCAGAAAAAAGCAGTTATTTTTTGTATTCTGTAGTTTGTACACCCTGAATTGACAAAAGTATTTGATGATGCTGGGACTTCTTCAGAAGCCAGTTATAAAATAATTCCCCTTGTTTAGTTTCCCCCCCCCCCCCCCCAATTGACGTGTGTTCCATACATTGAGTACCAACTGGTTCATAGTAAATCACATTCATTACTAATATTATAATAATTATTGCTTTTGTATTCTATTGAAAATTGGGTATTTCTTATGCTGTCAGCATATATATATATATATATATATATATATATATATATATTTAAAAGTAAAGACTATTACTCAGGCAGGGCATTAAATTTGCATTTACCGGAGTCACGTAGTGATATAAATTTAGAATATTTATTTCAAGCGTTTATTACCTTTTGTGTCACTCTTCAAATAAATAGAAATTAATGTTGAATAAATTCACCTGTTTCTAATGATTATTTGATTAGAACATATATTTATAAATTGTCCTCATCAAATAATCATTGATTGGAGTATTGATGGTATAAATTGTTCTCATTAGAGATCATAAAAACGTTCTCCAATTCCACAACATTAATCAAAATATATCGTTAAAAAAAGCCATATAACTTGGAAACATGTACACTTGCAATTTACAAAAGGTTTTTTCCTGTAAATATGGCTAGATAGCGGTAGATAACTTTAGAAAAGAAATAACGTAGTTTTATGCCTTTTTGTTTTGATTTTAATTCTGTTTACGGTAGATTACGTTTAGGTCACCCACCACGAGCTGAATGGCACACAAATGTTACAATTTTAATGCAGCGTCGAAAGTCGAAAGTTAGTGTGGCCTTACGCAGATTTGCAAGAACAAGAAGAATCAATGAGATTTTATGCAGGAATCTCGATGTGAAACTATCAATAGCCAGCATTTTCCATCAACTTTAGTGTCATTTATTTTAATTATATGAATGTATACTTGCAAATAGTAATTTAGACCCCTTTTTAGGCACTTTCTGATATATTTTTATGACTTGGCAGAATGTAAAACAGGTATTGTCGGGAATGCCTAACACCTACTATATGTGCCTGCGACTGCACAGTCAGCCATGTTTTCTTCTACAAAATGTTGTTGTTTGTGGGACCTTAGTAACAATGTCCATGGGGCGGGCTTAGTGGAAAGGTCAATTAAGGTCAACATAATTTGGGTGGGCCTTTCCGGCTGACAGTGTTTTGGCATTGACCAGCGGCGTAGCTAGGTAAGAACGGGCACTAGTGCAATATTAATTGCCAAGTTCTTTGATGCGATGCGCCAACTGAGAGCTGTAGGCCTGAGTTATGGCTAGTGGGTTGGGGGGGGGGGTTTGCTGGATCACGTTAATTTTCCCCGAGCCAGTGGGTTAGGCGAATCCCAAAAAACTCTGACGTATTTACATTTTCAGAATAATGATAAATATTTGTAACTATTTCAAGAGGACCTATTTGGTCTCAGAAGCTAGTTCTAAATTTAAGAAACTTAAACAATTGAAAGGAACACAGTAATCAATAATTACTCCTCTAAAAACCTAAATACTTTTAAGGGGCCCAATAGCCATTTTTTCTTCATAACTATTAAGTTGGAAATTATCTTTAGGCCTATTTATGAATGGGCCCCTAAATAGCCCTGAGCCCCTGTACTTTGCAAGGGCTGCACTGCCCGTCCATACCCCACTGGCATTGACATTTAACCTCAACACGATTTAGACAGGCTTTGCGGCTGCCAGTGTTTTGGCATCAAAATGATTTAGGAGGGTCGTTTCTGTCAGTTTTTTTTAAGTTGACTTAAAGTTGCTTTAAGGCCTTGTGACATGTGACATAAAAATGTAAATAATGGCTGTAGTGTGCATTTTTATATGTTGCATCTATATATTTAATGTACTTTTATGACTAACACGTTAGTTGCTGGACACAAATTTATCATGTTGTTTATGTTAGTTTTAATCCCTAAACCCCTGAATCACTAAACTTAAACTTAATAGCACAATCTCACATTGTGTTATTGGTTGTGAAATCTGCAATATTAGGCTCAAGATATAGCAAGAGCATTGAATTCTGTTTCTTTAATGTGGTGCTGGCATGCTTCCATTGATCCAGTGGATAGTAAGCGTTATAACAATAGCTTTTATACACACACTCAATCCATCAATGTTCTCTGCAAGCAATTCTGGGAAGACTGCAGCTCAAGTATTTTGAACGTATCTATCTTTTTATGGCAAAGTGGAGAATTTAAAAAAACTAATGAATAAAATTGAGAATGTGTATTGAGGTAAAAAAAGAAAAAAAAAAAGAAAAATATCTACATGGGAATGTTCCTTTGTATATTTAAGTTACCAGGCACTTTTAAATTATATAATATATATATATATATGGATATATATATATATATATATAATTATATATAATTTAAATCTAAAGTGCCTGGTAATTAAATAATGGAATGTTTCAGTAAAAAGTAAGGAAATCAACAAAACTAAATTGCAAGTTAACTGGGTCAGTCAAGATGATAAACTTCAAATGGCCATTAATAAAAGGTTGATATCCTCATTGTAAGTTTAAGTGTTATAAACAATAATTAGATCACGCCAAACTTTAACAGGTATAAGTCACATCTTCTATCTCACCAGTTAAATCAGCACTAAATATTTAAAGATATTGCCAATATATTAACAGTTAATTCAAGTTCAAAGCGCAAAAAAAAAAATCAAACTTGTTATAAAATCTCACACCTATAAAAACATCCATTATCAATACTTTGCTCATTTTTCCAAATGTGTCTTAATTTTTATTTGTACTTTTTTCTGTTTCGAGAGGAGCCATGTTGACTGCTTTTTATAACATTTACGCAATCTTGCCAAAGGGTTTACTAATTGTGTTCCTGTGCTATTGTATTCTAAATTTTCAAAGCCAAAATAAAGCTGATATATGATCACTGCCTTTTGGTAATTAGAAACGAAGGCTCCACAAGCATTGTTTCAAGGGAAATACAAGCTTACCCTATAAATTCTTGGTTAGTTGATTAGTCTAGTTTACTAATCAATTTATCATTAAATTTTGTTAAATACTGTATGCGATTTGGAGCAATTACATAGCGTTGATATATCATTTGCAATTTAGCTGCAAAAAGCTAATAATATTTTGTAACCATAAAGCAAAGTTAAGCTAGACTCCAGAGAGAAATCAAATGTGGTTACGCCCCTTTATCCTCAGTTTTTAAATATTAAAAAATCTGTATCACATTTAACCATTCCGAAGTTTTTCCTCAATTATGCTCAGAAAAATCAGTTGTACAACATATTAAAATTTTGCTTTCCTTTGGAGCCTGGGTTTATTATTTCAATTAAGTTTAAAGATGAAGAACATGAATAGACTGTACCACTAAGTCCAACCACTTGGATATTGTTGCTATTAAAGGTTCCAAAAAAAACCAAAAAAATAAACAGCGTCAATATTAGTACACATTGCCCCTGTTCTGATTGGTCATTTGTTAAGTTTGATTGACACATGGGAAAGGTCAAATGAGTCAAATGAGTCTTGCCTATAATCTCACTGAGAAAGGCATTTTGAATTCTGATGTATACTACTTGACGATAGATTCATTTCATAATTTCTTCAAAATTAGTATCATTATTAACGTTACCATTATGATTGCAGTACACATTTACTCAACCTGAATTGTAAGTTGGTAAATATGCGTATGATGCTCCTTAGATGTACACACACGTATGCTGTACAGCAGGGATTGGCCTAAAATACGGTCGGAGAGCCAAAGTGCATGTTTGATTTAACACCGGGGGCCGCACCCAAACTTAGATGTTTCTAGTGAGCTTCCAAAACCCCCAAGCACTGCTTTTCCACCACTTTATTCTTAAATTTAATGTTACTTTTTACATATGATCGGTGTCAGGCCGAAAAAAGCATGGTGTTTTCTTGCCAATGTTGCTTGGCGGGCCGCACATATAGGGTTTATAATTCACTTTAACGGGCCACAAAAAAATCGCTGTCAGGCCAAATTTGGCTTGCGGGCCGCACTTTGCCCACCTGTGCCGCACAGTGACAGGTAATGATGGGGATTAACTCAACATAGTTTTTAGTTATCTTTTTCCTTGAAAACCTCCCTAATGTGAATTTAATACTTGAACTTGTGAAATCAGGGGCAGATTTAGGGAAGGGGTATGAAGGGCATGTTCCCCCTCCCTGATTTTGCCACCACCATCTAGTTTTTTTCTAACGGAAAAAGACACAAAATGACATACAAATACTAAATGTTACAATATTTTGTAACAGCATATACTGAACATGAATCATACCATTTGGATATATTTGGATCTGTATAATTATATTTCATCTAGGCCTATATAAAATTGGTGCCCACTTGTTTCAAAAATTCTTCAAATAATTTACCTTACTTTACATTGTACTTTTATTTTTCAACTTAAAGAAAATAAATGTTACTTTGATTGATTGATTGATTCTGGATCCACCCCTTAAAATGTAAATAATGAAATAACAAAATGATTACCATCTTTGACAATTTTATTTGTGCTCTCCAGGAAAAGTGTTTCATTAGGAGACATCTTGTGGAACACCACTTTCTGTATTGAAGACTTTCCACTCCTGAAATATTGAGAAAAATTGAAAAAATAATTATTTTCTTGAATAAATTAATTGTAATTTTTAATTTATCACAGTGACACTCATGATATTAACTGCAATAAATAAGTGTCATTGTAATATTTTGATCTGTTAATTAAATACAACTGGCTTGTGAGTTAGTATTAGCACACAATCCCTGTAAACTGATGGATTTTGTTATTATGTGCCATGATTTCAGACAGGCATTGTAACAAATTGTTAAGAATAGATATCACTATTTCTGTTTTGGGTTTTATGCTAACAAAACAAACATTAACCAGGGAGCTTTAAATTAGAATGATGGTATCCCACAAATCTAAGGGACCTCAAAAGAATTACAGTATAAAAGAGAAAAAGCCAAATGTTCCTTAGCTGGCTTTTATGTTATGTTCAGAAACTCTATAGAAACAAGCACTCTATATGAGCTTACAGAGCTATCCCCTGGTTTCCATTATAAATGAGAGAAAGCAATAAATATAAACAATGAAATTTTTTGGGGGGGTTTTTCACTTGTTTTTCTATTGATCGATTTAAATGTTTCATAAGAAATTTTCTATAAAATCAGACTGTGAAAGAGTCTGATATTGAAACATGGGCTTCCAACTCTATTACCGTCTTAACCCCATCAGAAGTATTCTGGGTTTGGAGTCTGGGATCGAGTGTCCAGTATCCCCGTCGGCTTCATCAGGTGGTCCATATGCAAAATCTTTTGGAAAAGAGCTACCGTAGCTGCCTGCCATGAATGTTACTTCATCTTCTTCCGCCTAAACAATATATGTCAAAATAATTAGTAATTCTATCTGGTAATTCTCCCAAATTACATTAAAACAATAAAAATAACAATTTAACAATAATAATAAAAAAATAATGATAATATCTCATATCATTATTTTATCCCCACACATTTACTGCAGGCTTGAATTTGTTCTTTTACATGACAACCACATGAACCAACCCGCCGGGTTGTCATTACATGGTCAGGGTAGAGTGTTGGCTTAGTGTAAAGCCTTTTCTGGTAGAAATGTGACCCTCCTTTCAAGTAACCCTAACACCTGTGTGAAAATAATGCTTTATACCTGCAATTGTAAATCAATTATTTGCAATTCCTACGCGAGAAGATGGTAGAGATTACTCATAATGGTTTTTATTAAAACATACCAAGCTTAACTGTTACACTAGCCTACTGTATGCCTGGATAAGCTTTGTCTGGCAGCTGCAGTTGAAAGAGGGCGACAAACAAGTTGGGTACTAGACTACTGTACTCGAATCCATGCTTTCATTTGTTTACTTTATCTGATTACTTTTATTGATTAGCATTCAGCTTCCTTAGCAGCAAGAAAAGCGCAAACACCGAAGCAATTTTAGCATCACCTAAAAAACCCAAATCTCTCCTTTTTCACTGGCCTACACACACTTCACTAGTTAATGGTAAGACTAGTTTAACAAGAAATATTTCAGTTGTTACGACCAATATGATATTAATAATTACTTATTCTAGCGTTATTCTATTTTATAATAATTTTTAATCTTTATTTGCAGCCTACAATCCTCTTTTTCAACACTGACAAAAAAAATGAAACAGAAATTGTACTAAAAACACACAAATATTTCAAAGTCCTAATGATCATTAATTCTTTAAAGATACTGCAATCAAATGTCATAAATTCATTAATTTAATATTTTTATATCAGTAACATCTTCTAAGCAATTGAAATAGATAATAAATTTGTATCTGTATGACATACTGTACAGAACCTCACATTTGAGTATATTGTACAGACACAGAATTATTTTTCAAGACATTTGCAGACAGTCCATATATTTCACCAAGTTCAATTAAATTTATATTTTATACTAATTAATTAATTTATTATTAATGACAAAAATCAATAAACTATAAGGTGACCTCAACAAGATACCAGAATGACCTGAAAAGTGGAAACCTTGTTGAGACATCTAAAATCATTAGCGATAAAAAAATATTGATAGTGCCATCTTTGTTTCTATAAATCCTGCTAGCATCACTGTGGTCATATAATAATAATAATAATAATAATAATAATAATAATAATAATAATAATAATATGCTCTGTCTCTTATACACATCATGTCGTTCTTATATAGCGCTTCATGCCTTTACAAGGCCTCTAAGCGCTTCACATTACTACCCCGGTCATTGGATCAAACACATATGGAACACATTGAAACACCAAATTAAATTAGCAAACTAGAAATTGCAAATTGCAAGTGAAGTGCTGCGAAGTACAACTGCATAAAATGTTCTTCGAACAAAATTATTTATGCGAGTCAAGTGAAAATAATGAATAATAAAAATATAACAAATAATATGAGCACGACCCATTGTCTATATATTATTAGAACAGCGTTGGTACAATAGTGTTTTGCTGCAGTGACATCTTTCTCGCTGCTGGCGAATCGATCTGTGCATGTGTATAAAATGGTATTTATTTCCGGAAACACTATGCTAGTCTACAACAAGCGTCGCCTAAATGTAATAATTAGCACGTTGAAATAGGCTAGTGAATAAGTTTAACTGGGTTCGTTAGGGACGTTACGATGAACCACCCAAAAACTGGAGAAGGCCTGCATTTAAAAAACGAAAAATTTATATTCGTAGATATTTACAATGTTCTCTAGAGTATTGGAGATAATTAGGACCACTTTCCACTGAAACAAACCTCGCACAAATTAAGTCACGCTACGGGCCTGCCTGGAACAACCTTCATTCCAACACTGTTGAAGCGACTTCTGTAAATGTAGTAGTAGTAAGCATGTTTGAGAAAAAACTGGATCAACATTGGCTGAATAAGAATGTGGATGCCATATTGAGCAGTACAACTTAAAAAATAGCCTATACAATTACGCCCACACCCAATCAGTAAGTTGTAAGTTTTATTTGTTCACAGTAATTTTTTATTAATTTCATCATACTTTAAAATTAACAGAAAACAAATCAATAAAACTGAAAAAAATTCAACAAGACTCCACCAAATACAGTACCGCATTTCGAAATGTTCGTCACCAAAGCTGGCTCTGCAGTGTTCTTTGACTGAGTCTGAGTTACAGCTATTAGCTAGTAAATAGCGACTTACCTGCCTGCCAATACTGCCAGTTAGCGAACGCCTCCATCCAAAGCCTAGCTAGCGTCACTCACTCATGATTGCCTCGCTAAACCCTACTACTACTACTAGGCTAGCTAGCCTCGCTAGCCGGGTAACTAGGCCTATAGCCCCCCCTAACTTAGAGAGGTCTTATTTAGACTTTATTGCTGCTGTTCAAAGTTAAAATTTGACAGAATATCCACACAAGTTTTTAAATGCATGCCTTGATAAAACATATTTTAATTCATTTAAACACCACATATAATGAGGGTATTTTAAAGTTCTGAATATTTTATTACAGCACTTACCATTTTGGTCGTCATGTGATGTCTGTCTGCTACTTTATTATTATTTGATCAGCTGACATTTTTCTTAACTATATGAAATTTTACTTAATATCATATCAGCTAAGATCCATATTTTATATACATTAAAATATAAACTTGTCTTATTAATATTTTATGCATTTATCGCTGGACATTTTAAATTTATCTGAACTCAAGGTATTAAACTAACAATATATATACTAATGCAGAAGAAAATGATAATTGGAAAGTTCATCGAAGGTTCACCTCTGCATGATTGATCGGGTGCGGTCTGACTCGATCATAACAATAGATGTTCATGATGTATTTTTTTTTATATAAAATGTACATTTTTGTTTGCCAACCTATAAATCAACTCTATAATGTGAATTCTCTCAACATTACATATAACCAGACTTAGTCCTTTGCTTCAGCTGATCAGGTTAGCCTAGATGGTCAATTCTTGGGGTCCTGAGAATAAGTAAATACTGTCTACTGCCCCCAATTTTCAAGTCTTGTTCCCGTTGTAATTTTCTGCGGTTTACCGTTTGTCGGGACGCGATTTTTTTCCCGTACGAAACATTTGCATGAAACTTCACTCGGGCCATCTCGGATTGACTCGATTCGAGTTCGATACGAGGAACAAGAGCAGACACTTCACAATGTCGTGACGCTCGAGTTTTACCAAGTTTTACTTTTATTGCTCTTTCTATGTTTACCTACGGTAGCCTATGAAATCTTACGGATTTATGGCATGTACGTGTGTAACTAACTGTGACATTCTTGTATGTTATTAAATGTTAGTATAATATCTACAACAACTGCAGCTGGTACCTGTTAGGCAATAATACCACACCTCATCTTTACAATATTCTGTTTACCGCCCTCTATGACATGTGAGGATTGAGCAAGGGGAATAAAGAAAGTAACATGGCGAACTGAAGTTGTGTTGTGCTATGATTATGTTCATGTAAATATAGGACACAAATAACAGTACCCCCCTTTATAAAGTGTAGATAATAAACTACAGGCCTAAAAGCAGACTGAAAGTCCTACCTACCATAGGCCCTCCCTAAACTAGGCCTAGGTCCTAGGGTCCTAGGCTGACACCAACAGTCACGCTTCACATGACGTTGATTGAAATTTTTTTAAAAAGGGGAAAAAATTGAAGCATGAATTAAAAAATAAAGTGCATAAGAAAAATATTATTAAATAATAATAAATAAAATATACCATTCCAGCGTTATTGAACTTGGCCAAACTATCATCGTAATGTAATTATGTTAAATAATAATAATCATTTCAGCATTATTACCTTGGACCAAGCCTTGTAATCAAGAACCTATTTACTAGGCCTATAATTAATAACTAGCCCAAGGGAATATCTTTTGTGCTATTTCCCCTTATCGTCGTTTTTTTAATGTTCTGTAAAATTTCTCCATTGTCTATTCCTAATTGGTAGGTTTTAGTAACATAATAATAATAATAATAACAAATAATAATCATTTCGGCATTAATTAACTTGGTCTAGCCTTGTAATCAAGAACCTGCAGATACTATTTACTATATAACTAGGCTTAGGCCTCATTTATACATTCATTGGTGCTCTGCCATTTTGGCAGGTCTTTATCATCCAGTATTTTAGAGCTGCCTATTCACAGCTCTTCTCTTAATTTGAAAATAACTGTCACCCTGTTTGATAAAGAAACGCGCTATTCCTTTTCCCTGAAAGCGTATATTTTAGTAGTTAGTAGGCCTAGGTAATTATGCAAAACCCAGATCTAACTAAAAAAATAAATAAAATTGTCACAGTATGTAACTCAAGTTCAAATAACACTTCCATTTTTATCTGTTGATGATTTTTTGACCTGAATTCTGCAATATGAGATTTTCGGCCCGGGTCGATTCAGTCGAGACGGCCCGAGTGGAGTTTCATGTAAATGTTTCGTACGGGAAAAAAAAAGTCGCTGTCGGGACCATGTTAGACCATGACTATGATATTCAATGGTGATTTAGACATTTCTACATAGGGGCCTATATGTATTCTTGTTTAATTTTTAAAAACATCAAAATTTGACATAGCAGCATTACGCTAAATTGCGTCAAACGTTGGCGGTAAACTTCTAACATATAACGAAATGACATCTAAAACACAAGAGAAGCAATCAACACCATACAGGGCCTGAAAACGATTGAAGCAACTCAATCCAAACATCGAGACGTTCTTAACCAACAACAGTTCTTTTCAGAACTATCTACGGTGTAGGCCTACCGCAAGTATTAATATATATTATTGGGCCTACTTCGCCATGCAAACCTTCAAACAATATTTAATTCACAAGTGCAATCCATAAAAATGGACAAGTCACAATCATTACTGTAAACATTACAGATTACTAAAACAACTATGAAATAGATTCAATATAAAAATCCTAACATAACTTAGTCTCGCTTAAACATTTATTGAGATATATAAAACCTAAATAACCCAAAGTACCGTATTGAAGTAACTGCCACCTAAATACTGTTATTTGAATGATAAAACGCGGCTTTCTAAGTGGTCGTTATAGACACGAGCCATACAGTAGGCTATGCTTTTTCATGATCATCTATCTTTGAATGGGCTATTTTTGAATGGTATTTCAAAATATATTAGCCTAAAATTTTGCCAGATTTTAATCCAATTAGATGACAATAGTAATAATAATAATATTAATAATGTCATTTTGTTAGGCGCACGTATCCATCCCTAGGGGTGCTCGCGGCGCCGTTTTCCACCTGCCGAGTGTACATGTAGCCATTTTCCGCATTATTATGTGAATTAATTAATTTAATTATTTATTTACTCATTAACGTATATTTATTTGTGTCGGACCAGACAGGAAGGGAAAGATAGGCAAAATAAGATGCAACTACTCTTCGGGGTCACCATCCATCACCACCCTGACGCAATCCCGGACCTCTGCCTAGGTGGCTCGAACAAAGGAACGGGAAACACATTTGCCCTGCCACAGACGACCGGGTGCTCAGGAGTTGTAATCGAGACAGTGGCCCCAAAAAATAAATGCCGGCCTGTGAGAGACGGAGAAAAGCAGTTATTGAGATGATTCAAAGTGAGAAATAAAAAGAAAAGATTTAAGTTCAGACTTGAATTCTGAGAGTGAAGTCAAATTTCGAACGTCGAATGGGAGCTGGTTCCAGACTTTTCCAGCTGCAAATTTAAAAGCCCTTGATCCCCAGTGATTATTGATTCTGTATTCTGCGAGCAATGAGCGATCAGCCGAACGGAGGCCTGATCGAGATGGATTGTGGGGGGTCACAAGTCTGCTGATATAGACCGGTGAAATTTCATGCAAAGCCTTGAAAATGAGCATCCCTCATATATTTATGAGGGCATATACTATTCATTTAAAATACAAAAAATTACACAAAAATCAGCGGTCACTTGTTTGAAATTGAAGAAATTAAATAGTATACACAGAACAATGTTAATCTTTTACTGTTGTTCTTATAATTAATTTAACAACATAAATTTAATTTGCTCTTTAGTTATAATTGATTTAAATTTATTAAATAACATGAGTGTAGTAATTTTCTAGCAATAATTTTAAGGACTGTTATTGAATCTTTATATGGCAAATCCGTGGCTCGCTTTCAATTAGAATGAAAGTTATTACATTAGTTAGGCAACACAAACCGGTGTTAATACACAAGCCTATGAAGACTAAATACTTTTCATCTAAACTTTCTAAATTCGCCTCTGAACGTTACTGTTGCAGTACTTAAAACAATAAATCATTGTCGCTATCATAATCATCTTCTTCGTGATTCTCATATAGGCCTACAACTTAACTCCAGATTAACTTCGAAGATGCCTCTGCAACACCAATTGAATATGAGGTGTCATCGGGCTCGAATGATCACATCGAGCATTTATATGGCGCTCTACATAAAGAAAACCACATGTGCCTATGCAATTCAACTTAATTAAACTTTTTATTTTATTCAATTCTCAAACAACAGAGATAGAAACCTCCACTTGCATTAAAATGTCGTCATAAAGCTTAAACGAATATACTTCATAAGTAATATACATTTCATAATATACTTCATAAAAAATATGAACAATCTAAATTATTAAATGTAGACCTAACTGCTAATCCTTTTAATAAACTCTCTTACGTCAACTCGATCGTTAAGTGTTTAGTGCAAGTACGTTCAATGTAAACAAGGGTACGACGATTAGAATCAAATATAGAATTTATGCTTTTGTAAACAACATACCCAAAACACGTTATATTCTATAATTGAAAGAAAATTTAACTTTTTAGAAATTCGGCCAAATATAGTTTGGGCGTGACTTTGCAAACTTTACGGCCAGGCGAAATTTTATACGGCCAGATTTGAGGAATCTGGCCGTCAAAAAGGCCAAATTGCAACCCTGGGCGTAACTATACTAGGAGGCGAAAACGTGCGGAGCACGAGTTTCTTTCAACTTTCAAGTTCTCAGTTCTTCTCGCTGTACAGGGGGCGCTCTGCAATTTTGAACGTCGGGAAAATTATGTCAACAACACCTACGCTAGAGTATTGATGATCAGGAATGAAGTGAGGTTAAATGTTGCCAATATTATAATATACTAATAGCTTTCTGTTGTTAAGAATATTGCATTTCAAAAGGGGAGTCTGAGCTACCAAATACGACATACGTAAGTCTTTTAATCTCAGCCTCTTTTTGAAACAATTTTTCAAGGCTAGGCCAACCATAGTAACCGGAAAGATTCCCGGAAAAGTGGCAGGGCCAACTTCCTTTGTATGTTATAATTTTTGCCCGGGCCCTGCCTAGGCCTAGCCTAGGCTACCTATACTTTCTTGGCTACAGTACTTCTGTGTCTAGGCCTAGGTTAATTTGACAGACCAACGGCTTAGTCGTAGACAGGGTAATGAGAAAACTAGAAATAATGTGAATTCCAGGCAGGGAGGTGGTAAAATAGTAGTAAAAAAAATACACCTGATTGACAACACTGCAACAGAAATTAATTTATTATTAATTAATGTGGGCTGACACTTAGAGGCCGGCGCTAATGCACTCTGCACACCACATCCAAAATCAAAAGCTACTATATAAATTACTATTGA